GGTATCGGGAAAGGTCCACGAGCCGGGACTTGAACTCGGGACGCCCGAAGCGCAAAAACGCTACATGTCAGTGCGCTGCCCACGAGGCCATTGGCGCCGACCAGATGAGACCACTCTTTTACTGGAGGAAGTCTTATTATGGATTATGGACTCTATTTTATCTGGAATCAATGGTTTGAAGTTAAAATGTCTTAATAATAAATTTGCTTACAAACACGCAGCTTGTGGCTCCTCAAGATGTTAACTGATGGACTGGAGTGGTGTGGATTATTGTGATCAGCTGTTTGGACTCTCATTCTGACGGCACCCATTCACTGCAGAAGATCCATTGCTGAGCAAGAGATGCAATGCTACATTTCTCCAAATCTGATGAAGAAACAAACTCATCTGCATCTCGGATGACCTGTGGGTGAGTACATTTTCAGCAAATTTTCATTTTTGGGTCAACTACTCCTTTACCGTGTTATTTCCTTGAAAACATTTCTGTAGTGTCTGGATGGTTTCTTGTTCTTTTTTTCTTTTGATTTTGAGGTGAAACATGTTCTTCACAGGTTTCGTGAGATTTCCTCATAAAGGCCTGTATTGTGAATGTATTCAGTGTTTATGAGTGTGTGTGTGTGTGTTCTCTTACAGTAGTTGTTATCAGGCCTTGATGATCCAGAAGTGCAGTTGTTGAGTGCTGATTGGTTATGTGATTCCATCTTAGTTACATTTATGCATCTTATCCAAAGCAATTTACATTGCATTGAAGGTATACGTTTTTTATCATTTCGTGATCCCATGCCTTAGGAGTTTCATTCTAGAGCTCTTTGGCCTGTTTCACACATAAGCAGTGCATACTTGTTTTGGCAAGTAGAGTTTCAGTTCTGGGCCTTTTCTTAATCTGTGAGTGCCATACTGAACTTTAGCAGAAAATATGGTGAAAATGATCTGTGAACCTTTTTATTAGCATGACCTTTTACAACAGGCTTCTCCTTTGGATCATCTGGATTCAGTCCAGTTTACTTTGCAATTTACTTCAATTGCATGTAAAACTTGTTTTTTCCAAAAAAATGGAAATGCATGTGCTGTTTTTAAACATGCAGACATTGAATAAAATACAAAATCAATCAGCATGTCCACGCTGCTTGACAAACAAAAAGTAAAAGTAATAGCTCACTCATGATTTCATAATTTTTGTCCATTAGTAAAGGTAGTACTCCATGTATAAACCCAAAAATCACTTTTTTCCTGTATAGATTTGCAGCAGAAACACTCTCTGCGTGTGAAACGGGCCTTACGGTTCAGTTCAGCTTCTCTCTGCATTTCTCTAATCAAGTGGAAAACCAAAGCTGTCTGGTGACATGTTTTTTGTTTTTTCATTGGATCTCCAGTGAATATGTTTTCACGCTCAGATGAAGGTCGAGTATTTAAAGACAAAAGGTTTTTATGGGTGTTTAGTTTTTGTAAGCTGGTGCTGTCGGTGTTGATGGACTCAGAAAGGTGTGTCTTATTGTACTGTATGTGCATTATGGTGAATAAATGGTGTGTGTGTGTGTGTGTTTGTGTTTGAGTGTTTTAAATGTATGTTCCTGATGTGGCAAAACACAGAAAATAAACAGAATTTAAAGTATTGAAATGGCTTGATGAACCCAGTTTTCTCTCCTGTGTCCGATTGTTTCCTGTTGGAATAGGAAGATGTACACAACATTCTAAACTAGTTGTTTTTGTAGTTTAATTTCAATAAATGGTGTGGCGAGGAAATTTTCATGGTAGTTTTATAGTGCAGTGATAGTTCTTAATTCAAAACATTAAGGACAACTGACTTATATTTTCTCTTCTATGCTCACAAAGGCTGCATTAATTTAATCAAAAAATACAGTAATATTGTGAAATATTACAATTTCAAATAACTGTTTTCTATGTGAATATATTGTAAAATATGATTTATTCCTGTGTTGCAAAGCTGAATTTTCAGCATCATTACTCCAGTCTTCAGTGTCACATGATGAAATGGGATGTTGTTGAGATTCTAAGTGAGTTGTTTTTGCAGTTTAATTTCAGTAATTAGTCATTTTTGTGTTAGTTTCATAGTACAATACTCATATGGCTCATATTTTCTCTCTGAATAATGTGTTCAGCCCAATTCCTTTGAGAAACGTTATTTTGAATACTTTAAACACATCATGATCCATCTGCTTTCAGATGAATGGACGACTTCTGTACATGATATAATCATTTAGAAATGATCCCAACGGTGAAGTCAGGAAGCGTTTCTTATAGAAATGTCATCCAGTGTGTAATATTCTGTTCAGATCCGTCACAGCGTTCGCTGCTCTGATATCACTACGTTTACATGCAACCAAATAATCCGTTTGTAATCGGATTGACGGCTCAATCGGACTGAAAAGCCTTCATGTAAACACCTTAATCGATCCGATTGAGCTCGATCGGAATGATATTTCGATCGGATTGAAGGGGGTGGTTTATTCCTTTTCTAATACGATTGAGAGTGCATGTAAACACTCGATCGGACTAAACCCCGAAACTGAAAGGACTGCGCATGTGCAATGACACAGAAATAGCGTAATGATGTATGACACGCGGAAAGAGCGGCTCTTCCTTTTGAATAAAGTATTGTATAAATGCGTGTCCTGTCATTATAAAACTCTCCTTTCACTCGGCAACTGTGAAGTGGAGCAGGACAACCTCCCACCAGTCCTTGTTTTGGATTCTCATCCACAGGCAACCCGTTTTGGGC